CTTAATAGTTCATTTATTTTTGGGAAGCTCTCTAAACATGTCAGAGACAAATATAATAGAGTTTATTTCCTTGGTGTCATGTTAAGAACTTTAGCTCATCAGTTCTAAAGCTCAAACAAACTAAGACTGAAAGCCATTCAAGTAATGCCTTTAACATTACCTTCACCACATGCATATCACATACACACAAGCATAAGAGAAGTAGCTCAATCCCTCTTGATAAATGAAAGAAAAACCAGTTCTTATGTAAGAGGCAGTACATACCTAACCCAGTTACATAATTAAGCATATTTGGCAGGAGAATCCTGCCAGGACAGGAATTCCCTGCTCATTTGTAAGTGTTCCAACAGAAGTAGGGAGAGTAAAAAAAACATCAAGAAACATCAAGTCAATATATTTAGAAACCTTGGAAAAACCTTTTAATGGATCATGCCTGAGTAAATAACACCAGTTTGCATGGGTGCTGTCTCAGCTGTCTTGGGCTTATTTTCTCATAGTTCTGGAGTCTGGAAGTCTGAGAGCAGGGCACCCGCGTTGCCTGGTGCGCGTCTTCTTCCTGGGTTGCGGTGCCTGGCTTCTCACTGCGGGCTCACATGGTCTTTTCTGGTGCATGCCCATGGAGAAAAAGAGATTTCTTTCTCTTCCTCTTTTTATAAGGGCACTGGTACCATCATGAGGGTCCTACCTCCTTTACCTAATCTAAACCTAATTACCTCCTGAAGGCCTCACCTCCAAATACCATCACATTGGGGTTAGGGCTTCAACATAAAAATTTGCATAGATACAAACATTCAGTCCTTAACAAGTGCCTATATTAGGGAAGGCCTTTATTCTCACAATATCATTTTCTTGTCTCTTTCCTTTTAAAACCTATCTTTTCAGAAAGCAAATCTTTACTTACTGCCTCTCCCATCTTGTCTCTACCATTGGGAGACTTACACCCACCAACCAAAATACTGAAGGTTTTCCTTTCAGACAGCACTGTGCATACCTTTCCTTCTCAAACTTTCTCATCCATAGATATAATAGAGAGTTGAGAAACAAACCAGCCGGGTTCAAAATTGGGCCCTAGATGATTACAAGTTACTTAAATGTTCTGAATGTAAGTTTCCTTCCTCATCCATAAAAATAAGAATACTATTGCTTTCCCTCAGGAAACTTGTGTAGATTAAATGAAATGAAACAATGAAGGTATCTATCATTAAGTTGTCAGTAAGTTATTAGCCCTGTTCTTGCTCTGTAATTTCTGTTTGTCTTTAGCATACCTCCACCTGGACTTCTTACTTCATTTATACAAACCTAAACTAACAAACTGTAGACAGGAGAGTAACTCTGGTCTACTCTCCAACAGCAGACTTGGGGCTAATGGCACCAGCCCTCTCCCCATCACCTGAGCCCAAATTCTAAAGGTCATGAAATTAAATGGAGGTATAAGATCAAAAGACTTAGAAATGAAACACCCATGAGGGACCCCATCTGAATCTAATGGCCACAGAAACACTGCTGTCTCCAGGCACACCCTGTGAAGAGCATTCACCTGAATGATTAAACCAATGGTTCTTCAAGCGGGATCCCCAGACTAGAAGCATCAAAGTCACCTACAAAAACTTGTTTGAAAGGTGAATTCTTGCCCCCTACTCAGCCCTACTGAATGAGAAACTTGGGGTGGGACCGAGTAGGATGCAAGCTAAAGTTGGAGATCCAGTGGTATAAACAAGCTGCTGTCTTGAGCCATTGGAGAAGACCAATATTTAAATATTAATGTACCTAAGTATTTGAACATTAGTGTGCATTTAATTCAATCCATATAACACGACTTATAAAACAGAAGTTATCGTGGTGTATTTTGTTCAATTATAAAAAGTCTGGCACTGGCTGCTGTGGCTCATTGGATTGAGCGCTGGGCTGGCAACCAAAGGGTTGCTGGTTCAATTCCCAGTCAGAGCCCATGCCTGGGTTGCTGGCCGGGTATCCACTTGGGGGTGCTCAAGAGGCAACCACACATCAATGTTTCTCTCCCTCTCTTTCTCTCTCCTTTACTTCTCTCTAAAAATAAATACATAAAACATTTTTTTAAAAAAAGTTCAGACACAATTTCGGTACTATAAAAACTGAAAATATTTTCATTTCATATCTATGAATGCAAAATATTTAGAAAAAGGTGAAAGAGGTACTTAGCTTGACTCCATGAGAAGGGTATTCTTAAGAAACAAAAAATAGTTTACAGAGCAAATTCCCACTTGAATCTGTTCAACAGCAATAAAATAAAACTAGGAATGGGCAACTTTGTTTTTATGTTAAGTTGAAACACCTCTTCCCCATGATCTAACTAGAATTGCTATACAGGATCAGAGGCTAGGAAATGAAGAGGGAAAACTTAACTATTTAAATGCATCATGTTAATTGCTGTCTTCAAAGATATTAGGTTAAAATAATTGGTCCATAAAAATGCCTTTTGAGATTTAGGAAATCTCAGATCTACTTGCCACTAGCTAACAAAAAAAGCATTCACAAGATAGACTTAAACTGAAGAACTGCAGGTTCCATCAGAAGATAATCATACAAGCGCCAAAGCAACACCATTACTGGAGGCAATGTGGAGATACTGTGTGGGTAACTACTAACCACAGGAACTCCCCACTGTGCAAAACCTGTGAGCAACAGTCAGCAATGAAGAGCTTCTGAACAATGAAATCAAGCAGATAAACACGGCCCCCTATTGTCTGTGAAGGTTTGTTTTCTCAAAAGATTATTATCTAGCTAAAAATCAAACATCTAAAGATTTTACCTTTTAAAGATCATTCAGTTAAGTTATTGCCACATGCAGGATTATAAAGCACACAGTGCATGCAATTAAGTTCATAATTCTGAGAAGATGCACTTGTCTGTTATAATTTACCTACTTTCTGTACTACTAAGTTTAAATTACTTACCAAATACTGAATATATTTTAACTACATTTACTTAGTGGTTATTTTGGCTCTGTCAAGCCTTTCCAGTTATATTTACTAGTCATTCAATTTTGCCTCAAGTATCAAACGGGCCCTTCCCCTTTTTTCCCATCGTTCCTCAGGAAGCAGGTTGTAACTTCCATGGAGTATCATTTCCATTAGTTTTGGGAATATTGAGAGGGAAACACCACATGCAGAATTATCCAGAATTTCTACTGCTCAGGGTCAAAGCATACCTTTGTTTCCTAATAGGACTGATTTGATCCCAGCATCCTCCATGTAGCCATAACTGTTAATTCACTGGAAATGTCCTGGAATCCTGTTCTTCAGAATGTAGATTACAAGAACTTCTGGTGTTTAGAAGAGAAAAACTTTTTACCTCACTTCAGCTTGCCTTCTAAGTTTCATGCTCCAGAATTGATCACTCAGGATGGCTGACAGCAGGGATATTTATTTCCCTCAGGAGAAACCATAACCTCAACAAAGATAATGTGATTTGCTATAATTTCCTTTAAAATAAAAACAGCCAATAATCAATCACCAAACAATGGTCTCACTTTAACATCAGCACAGTGGATACGCCATCAAATGCCCAGTGCAGGTCAGACAGAAAATCTCAGTTCAGTTTATTTTCAATCTCCCTTCATCAAAGGTTTGAAATATACTACAGTTCAACCTTTTTCCATTATTTGTACATTCAAAATAGTTTGAAAGAATGTATATAAAATTTTCAGCAGTATGTCATCTGTGTCTGTGACTGTAAGGATTAGTCATTTTTTATGTCTTATTTTTAAATATCTTTATTTTTTGATCTTCCTACAATAAATAGTCATTTGGGGGGTAATCAAAAATGTAAAAGGAAATAATATTAAAAAGAAAAAAATTCTCCTGGCTTTGCATAAAATGGTCTGGAGATGGTTGATGCTGGAAACAGGGAAAGCAGAGAAAGAACTGAGGACCTGCCCTGGCTGGTGTGGCCCAGTGGATTGAGCGTTGGCCTGTGAACCAAAAGGTCACCGGTCAGAGCATGTGCATAGGTTGTGGGCCAGGTCCCCAGTGAGGGACACAGGAGATGCAACCAGTCGATGCTTCTTTCCCTTTCTTTCTCCCTCCCTTTCCCTCTCTCTAAAAATAAATACATAAAATCTTTTTTTAAATGGGGACCTGAACTAAGACAGTGGAGATAAAAAGATAATTTAAGTGACAAAACTGACAGAAATGGTTGACATATTTGGACACCAAAAATGGTAGCAAATGTTTAAAGATGACGTATTATGGTATAAAAATAAGTAGTGAATGTTCAAAGATGACCCTTAAAAATGAATGGTACTACTTTAAGTGGGAGATGCAAAGAAAAGTATGTGATGAAATGAGGTCAATTCGAGACATGTGGAGTCTGAAGTACCTGTAGCATATTCAAGCAGATTACTACTAATATGTTAGATTTGAGCCCAGGAAGAATGCTGAACAGTGACTCAGATGAGGAAGTCGTTGCTAAGGTGACGGTAGAAGTCCTGGTGGTAGATGAGATTGCTCGAGAGAGTATGCAGACAGAGAACACAAGAAAGCCATAGGAAGAATTCTAGTAAGCACTCAGGTCTAAGGTATGAGCAGAAAACAAAGCGTCCAAGAGAAAGTTTTCCAAAAAATAAAGCCACCCAAGAGAATGGGGTCACGGAAATAAAGGGAATAATGGCAACCACTCTCACTTCCTGTGGACCAGGGTTTCCCCATGTTATTTGTAACCATCCAGCAACCTTACACGGACGACATTGCTATGCTCCCTATAGGGAAGGAAATTGACATTGCTAGAGGATAAGAAATTTTCCCAGGCTCAAATGACTATTATGCCAAACTTGGCCTTGCTGACTCTGAAGTCCATGCTCTTTCCTCACTGTCATGCTGCTCTATTTTAGAGAGAGGGGAGGCATTGTAAATGGCTCTATCTGTCAACTGGCCTACATCAAGGTGGAATCTAGAATCTTGGCACAGTTCTTCAAACAATAGAATAGCTGGGTCTTTTTGATACAGCTACTCCATTTATTCCAGCTGCTGTCCCAGAAGCCCTGTCTTCATGATCTAGCAATTTTCTCCAGCTCTAAGACCAATATGCTGTTCTTCTTGGTTGGTCCATGTACCCTCCAGATGCTTAGGTATGTTGTATGTTACCCCTGCAAATAACTGAGTGGACCAGCTCAACACTTACTGATATGTGTGTGTGTGTATGTGTGTATACATATATGTGTGTGTGTATAAAAGTTAAGGAATACCTCTAATTTCCTGAAAACAATATATTTTGAGGAGAGTAGCTTTCATTTCTTACTTAAAAGACTAGCCTTGGTGGGTGTGGCTCAGTTGATTGGAGTATCATCATGTAAAATGGAAAGGTCAGGGGTTCTATTCCCAGTCAGGGCACATACCTAGGTTGCAGGTTGAGTTCCTGTCGGGATGTGTATGAGAGGCAACCAATCAATGTTTCTCACATCGATGTTTCTCTCCCTCTTGCTCTCCTTCCCTTCCCCTCTCTCTAAAATCAATAAGCATGTCCTCAGGTGAAGATAAAAAGAAAAAAAAATAAGACTAATTGAAAAATTAAATTATAAACAACGATTTTAGAGATCAATAATAATTATTTAAACAACCAAAGAAATAACAAAAGTACCTGATGTGTCAAGTAAATGCATGATGTTCAATTTGAACAGAATAGAGGTAATTACTTGCAAATGGATGAACAAGAGAGCACCAGTTAGAAATTACACAATTGTGCAACCTAAAAGAAGCCTACATCTTCAGACTTAGACATCATAGCTATTTTATGGAGAATAAAAATTAATAAAATATTATTCTGGAAATAAAAGGAATTTAAGGACACAGGTGATCATACCTGGTTTCTTAGATCATGGAATTCCTCCATAATTGGCAAATACCAATGTAATAAAAAACTCTGAAGTTATTTATCTTTTAAGAGATAGAAAATTTCAACATGAAGAGATTATGTAGAAAATAAATTTCAGATTTTTTTAGAAAGTAAATATTGTCATTTTTGGCTAAAAATACAAATCCAATTGCAAGATATTTAATTATCCTGTCACCCTCAGATTTATACCAATTTTCTTGACTACTCTTTAATAAGACTGATATAGGTGATGCCAGATTTCTGATAGGAATTATGCAAATAAGACATAATAGATTTTCATGACATGACAGGACAGTGACTTAAAGATTAATTAGGAATCTTCATTTCCTGGTTCATTTAGTCCCTTCCTGTAAGGAAGTCATATAGATACAAGGCATATATGGTTTTTTAAAGAAATTAAATTATTGGCCTAGGAACCAGGCCCCTAAACAAATGTGAATATGTCTGTAGCTAATGAAGATGCACAGCAGCTGGGATGGCAAGGCTTTCAGAAGCCATGGATATACAAACACTGAAGAAACTTGGTTCCAAGCCTCAATATTGTGATGTCGTTTCTTTTTTCAAGATTTTTTTTTATCATCAATAAATCAACAAACAACAAGTGTTTGCAAAGCTGCGGAGAAAAGGGAACCTTCTGCACCGTTGGCGGGAATGCAAATTGGTGCAGCCATTGTGGAAAGCAGTATGGAGTTACCACAAAACATTATGAATGGAACTACTTTAGGACCCAGCGATTTCACTTCTGGGAATGTATCTAAGGAAACTCAAAACACTAATTAGAAAGACTATATGCAGTCCTACATTCATTGCAGGGTTATTTACAATAGCCAAGATTTGGAAGCAGCCCAGATGTTTATCAGTCGATGAGTAGATAAAAAAGCAGTGGTACATTTACACAATGAAAAACTACTTGGCTGTAAAAAAGGAGATCTTATCTTTCTCAACAGCATGGATGGACCCGGAGAGTATTATGCTAAGTGAAATAAGCCAGTCAGAGGAAGACAAGTGCTATATGATTTCACTCATATGTGGAATCTAATGAACAAAATAAACAAACAAAACAGAAACAGACTCATAGAGAACAGACTGACAGCTGTCAGAGTGGAGGTGGATTGTGGGACTGGATGAAAATGGTAAAGAGATTGAAAAAAAATACTCATAGACACAGACAACAGGACAGTGACTAGCAGAAGGGAAAGGGATGGGGGAGGTAGAGGAGGGTATGGAGGGGATGAATGGTGATGGAAACAGACTTGACTCGAGGTAATGAGAACACACACTACAATATACAATTGAGATTTTACAGAATTGTGTACCCGAAACCAATATAATTTTATTAATCAATGTCACCCTAATAAATTCAATTTTAAATAAAAGATTTTGTTTTCATGGTACAGTTTTTGACACTAAGACTCAAAAGAAAGTATTCATTAAACTGAAGAGGTGGATAGTGTGCATCAAATTACAAATAAATGTTATACTAGATGTAAAATACAGGGAAATGGGGCAGATAGCAAAACTTGTATTCATGATAGCCTATAGGTTAGAAACGATCCAGAGTGTTTTTCTTAATGAAAGTCCATAAGACTTGACTGCCTCCCATTTACCTACTTGTCACTTTTGAGAAAAATCTGGGCTTGACTTCCATCCGAGGGTACAGTCTTACCCCATCCCCAATGGTCCATCATTCAGAAGATAAATGCTGATAAAGAGACTTCCTAGGAATGAGCCTCTCTAGCACTGTGGGACCAAAGGTTGATCATCAATGCACCCTTCAGACTGATTTACAACCAAAAAAGGGAAAGTGTGGACAAAAAAACATTCACATAGTAAACCTGACCAGCTCAGGGGAGGCCTGGCTTGGTGGCCTTCCAAACTCAGAGACCCAAAGTAACACATAGGGCGGTCTGAAATTAAAACTTTTTAACTAAAAAGAGATCATGGCAGGTACTTATATCCTACGCCAGTATCTTCCCTGGCAATGGTCAATCTGTACTTAACGGAGCCTGCCTATTGTCTTTTTGCATCTATGATAACATAATTTTGGAATGTCAGGGTGATTTTCTTTCCAGCTCCTCCCCTACCCCCCTCCTCACCCAGCCCAGCACCACTTGACTATCCAGGGCACCACCACACAGGCCAGAGCAGAGACCACAAATCCCCTCATTGTTATTATCGTGTTAAATGTTAACTGGTAACTATCCTGTACCCACAAATGTAAAAGAAGTATATATCTATTCATTTTACTTTTTATCCAATCCCACAGATTTCCCCAATTTGCTTTCTCCTGCCTCCCTAATCTATCACCAATGAATTTCATGTATCCCCCTTCCATATTCCCCTTTGATTCTGATGTATAAAATAAGTGGTAAAACTTCCATTTTCCGGAGCATTTTCTCAATCCATTGAGATTTTGCTGCTGGCAATTGTTGTCAATTTGGCTCAAATAAACTGTCTCTAAAAAGAGAGAGAGAGAGTGAGAGGGAGAAAGTATTCACTGAAAATAAAAAGCAACCTCAAAACAAAGGAATTTAGAGATGGAAGAATACGGAGTAGTTTAAGTCAAACAGACACGTGTAAGCAAAAGGGCACATACATGCCAGGAATATAAATATTTCACATTTCACGGCCACCATTTTGTAACAAAATATTGAGAGAGACTTGGCAAGATTTGACAGATTAGATTAGATATGCATGTTTTTCTTTGTGTTGTAAGCTTTAAAGTAAAAATGAAATGGCCTAAGAGCCAAGTTCCATTACAAAATCAAGATGCATTCTTAAGGAGAGATATCACCAAAAGGTTTTTGAAAAGTGAGGAATTGTAGAGGGGTTCAGTCGGCATCAATTCTGGACTGTACCAGACAATGAATGCTGCACTCCTAGAATTCTCTAACACTTTTTCTGACTCTAGGATTTGTCCTCCGTTGTGTTCCCGCTGGCTGACTCTTCTCACACCACAAGACAATTTATTATTTCTAGGGAACTCTTGGCACCCCTTATGCAGCTAAAAGAATCCAGGCTCCTTCTGCTCCCAAATGCATTGTGACACAGTATCATCATGCTAGTTTGACTTACGAAAGGCTTCGTATTAGTGGGGGAAATCTATACCACATTATTATGAAACCACATGGAAACAAACCTGTATGTTTATTATAGAAACAGTTTCCATCAAGCTCTTAGAGTGAATAAATGCTTTTACTAAAATGAGATGACGCCAAATTAAATCCTGCATAAGAGTATTCAAGGTATATATAAATTTACAAAAAAGAATAGCTATCAAACTTCCATTAAACTGACATTTCATCGGTTTTTCACCACTTTTGACATGTTCAGTGCCAATTTTCCCAACTTTTATAAAATTACTATTTAAAGGTTCCCCATTATCTAGTCTTTCACAATTTTTCTCATCACTATTTGTGGTCTAATTATTGCTTATATGGTGTTATAACTTATTAACAGTGTCTAATACAAAGTTTCTTTTCCACAAATAAAGTGGCCTTTTTTATATTTCAGGGGTGCCCACCATGCGGCCAATGAAGCTCAGAATGTCTGTGAATGCAGCTCAGCACAAAATCATAAATTTATTTAAGACATTATGGGATTTTTTGTGTGTGTGATTTACATGTCACAATGTATTTAATGTGTGGCCCAAGACAACTCTTTTCCCAATGTGGAAGAGAGATGTCAAAAGGTTGGACACCCCTGAAACAATACAGAAAAGCTCAATAAAAGAAAGTAAAAGGTGACCCCAATTTCTCTACTCAGAAATAAAGGGTCTTCTCACACTTAAAAACTCAATTTTTTAAGTATTTTCATTTACATCACTGAATATTATACGTAATTTTTATTGTATTTTAAAAACCAAGAACGTTAGCCAGTCCATTACCATACACTTACTCAAACGAAGTAGATATCTTTTGCTTTCAATTGGGGGCATTTCTGCATACATCTGTGCAAAGCTTTTGAAATCAATAGTTTCACTAAATTAAAAACAGGGCAAACCTCAGTCATATCCTAGTATTAATCTTGTCTTCTGAGCATTTATTTTACTTAAATTTTTAAAAATGGGATTAGGCAAGGGCATGTGTCACTTGTCAATTAAAAATTAATTTTAATATAATTTAAGAAGCAAACCATAGCTTCTTGAATGCTACAAAAGAAGATCACTTTAGAAAGAGAAGTTTTTGAAAACTGATGAAATGTTCATACAGAAAAAGATCGTGCAGCCATTTCTGAGAGAAGTTCCCAACATCCAGCGGCCCAGCAAAGAACCCCCTAAGGGACACAGACTCTGGTCAAGGTCCCTATTCTGATAAGTCAAATTTTAGAATAAAACACTACTGTTCTGGGACACCTTTGGTCCAATGCCTAGAGACCCTGACAGTCACTAAACGGTTCTTTCTTCTTGTTTCTCTTAAAAAGGAAAAAAAAAATATGATTAACAGATCATGACTACTATTAAGCAACTTACCACAAGGCTCTGCAAGTCTTTTCCCAGAAGACAAATACTGCAACGAAGAAAGACTTTCTTATGTTTGCAAAATGCCAGTAAGAATTTTCTCTCAGTCTAACATGTAGGGACGCTTGCTAATAAGGGTAGCTTTAGAGAAAATCTGCCTGGTGAACTTCCCTCCAGCGGGGACAAAGCGATGGCTGAATGTCCTCTCACCAACGTGTTCTCTTCCAGAGGAAGCGGTAAGGGGCTAAGCACGGCCGCCCTTTGTGGTAGGAATGCTCTGAGGGTCACAGAGCCCAGCTGCTTCTGCTGCCAGAAAATTTTTTTGTATCCACTTACGCCCAAATAAATAAAAGCTCAGGACAGTTCCAAGATTATATGAAGAAATACCTCATTTGTAGATGCCCGAAAACCAATGATAATAATATCTAGATATTACATAACACAGTTTTGGGTAGAAAACAAAGAGAGAGTAGAAAAACCCTTTGACCAACTGATCATTGACTTTTGGTGCCCTGAAAATTCCACTCCTTGCTAACTCTAGAGAATCAGAGGTATGCTTTTTAAGAGAGGTCCTTCATCCCTGTTTTTGGCAAGGTCCTAAAGCAAATACCTTTTAAGGTCAGAAATCCAGCCTCTAACCTGTTAGATACATTTATCTTGATCCTACATTCTGTGTTTTTTGAATTATGTTAGTCCAAGTGAAATGAAAATAGAAGCCAAAATGCTATGACTCACCCAATACTGCAGAGATACATTATACACAAACTAATTTATGAGAATGTATCAAGGGGATTTAACTATAAGCTTTTGGCATGGAGTAAAAATGGAAAGAGGTCAGGAAAAAAAAAAAAGCAGCAGGGTGATGAGGAGGAGGATGGGGAGAGGGACAAGGACAGAGGAAAGGATTTAAATAGTGCAGGTGATCATTACCAGTGGCCGCATGAGTGAGTGAGGAGTGAGAACTGGACCCATCTGAGGCAATACTCGTGTTCACCAGGACATCCAGGGATTCACAAATAGCTCATAGAGGAACTTATGTTTCCAAAGGTAACTCAGGGTTGCCATTAGAACATGCAAAACATTTTACTATTTAAAATAGGTGATAGTACCTATACTACTTCCTAAATTGTACCACTCAATGCCAAACATATATACTTAAAATTAGAAACCTTTTAGCCTCAAGATGATAATCAACAAATTTAAAATATCTTTCAACATGTATACCATATTTAAAAGGCAACTCCTCCTGAAATTATCATTGTATAGACACGTAAAAATTTTAAAATGCCAAAGAGTCAAAAAACAAACGGCTCTGTTCCATGAGGCATATTTATAGGTCACACAGGAAAGCATACTTGGAGGTCTTAATTGGTCCCTTGATTTTTCTTGAATTATTATGGGAGGAGAGACAGACAAAAGTTGGTTATAACATCTATTTTCTCTATATATTGGTCATGTTCTATTTTAATTGAAACCAAGTTAGGGAACCAAGCGCACATCTATATCTAACCTATAGGACAACAGAGTAGATCATTTTTTAACATTCCCTTTTTTTAATGCCAAAAAAAGTAATAACCAGGCAATAATCAGTAATAATCATTATTTTCTTGATTTGTTCTTTAGTTTTAAAACATAAAATATATCATTGAAATAGAAAGAAATTTCAATTTTAAAGATAACACTCAAATTTGATGAAATATTTCATGTATGAGCTAAAATTTTCACTCACCAAACAAAAACATTGCACCTTGTAATTCCCATTCTTCCACACTTTAACTTTTAAGCACCAATAGAAACTCCAAGGGGTCACAGAAAATGGCAGATGTGAGGTAATTCAAGTTGTTTCTTTTCTTCACAATGTCTGCGCTATCATTGTTTATTTCAAGCCTACTATTATATGAAGGAATATATAATACCACAAGTCTTGGAAAAGGCCTCCTAAGCTAACTCCAAATACACCAAGCCTCCATGAACTTATTTTGTAAACAAGATGAGTCGATTGTATAACTGGAAGTCCTCCAAATTCACTTCCATTACAATGCTATATGTATTAAAGGATGAATAATTTTAATGTGCTCACTCGAAGGTTTTTCCTGATGGGGATCAGGGCAGGCCTCCCCAGAATGTGCCACTTTGGCATGTGGATTACTTTGAGCTGAAGATATTCACAGCCCAACAGACTCAAGAAGAGCTTTTAGCCTCCCCCTTGACTGCCTAAAAGAATTTAGATAAAGAGCCTATTCTTTATTATTTCAAAAAAAGTAAAAAAGCAAATGAAATGCAAAAAAAAAAAAAAAAAAAAAAAAGATTTGTGTAGTGTATGGAGAAGGTGCTGTGACTGATCAAACGTGTCCAAAGTGGTTTGCGAAGTTTTGTGCTAGATTTCTCACTGGATGATGCTCCACGGTTGAGTAGACCAGTTGAAGTTGATAGTGATCAAATCAAGACATTAACTGAGAACAATCAGTGATATACCACTTGGGAGATAGCTGACATACACAAAATATCGAAATCAATAGTTATTGGTGAAAATGAAAAATGTGTCTTTTATTTTACAGAAAAATCTAAACAGATTTTTTTGGCCAACACAATATTAAGCCAGCCACAGAACCTAGAAAAGAAAATGGAAAGTTTTTCATCCCCTACACTGCCTAGTAACTCAACAGTAACTAGAGCCATTGTTTAGAATTGATTTTTCAGGGGAAGTGTATTTTATCACTAATACTGTTTAAAATTGTCAACACATCATGATTTTTTTTAAAGCACCTTGATTTCCAGTTAGTGTGGTGACTGTTTTTGAATTCTTTATGTTAAGTATACTGTATTGCCTGCATCCAGGGCTGACCGCTCCCATGACCTCCCCGTTGCTAGGCCGCTGCAACGGTCACTTGATATCTGAAAACTTCTTTCACAACATAACAGAGAAACGATATGGCTGTTCATAAGCTGAATACAAGGTACTAATGCCTGCTTGCTTTTTAATATAAATAAATAGCTCCTAAGAAATATACTAATGCACAGGTCCCGCTACAAATCTACTGATTAAAAATTTCAGCAGGATAAATCTGGGAATTTGAATTCTAAGACTTCTACCTGCTTTCCTTTTCCCTTCTCTCTCCTTCATAATTTTTATATTAAGATCAAGAACCAAAGTTTGGGAAAAGTTTACAAGGAGTCAGAAAATCTCTTTATGGGACATTTAAGGTCAGTGGAATTAAGGCCCTTTGTATCCCTATTACCATCAGAATTACCTTGGACTCAGAAATATGCAGATTCTTCACTCCTACCCACTACTCTAAAAGGTGGGGTACCCAGGGGACTCTGAAGTACCCAAACCTCAAAAACCATTGCTTTAAGGTGGTGTTCTCTTTTTTATTGAGGCCTGATTAATATATAACATTATATTAGTTTCAGGTGTACGACATAATGATTCAGTATTTGTATATATTGCAAAATGATCACCACAAAAAGCCTGGTTAACATTCATCACCACACATAGATACAAAAATTTTTTTTTCTTGTGGTGAGAACTTACAAGATCTATTCTCTTGGCAATATTTAAATGTACAATACAGCGTTATCAACTATAGTCACCATGCTGTGCATTCCATCTTTAGGGCTTATTTATTTCATAAATGGAAGTTTGTATCTTTTGACTAATGTGGTATTTTCTAAACTTGAAAAATCTAAATAATTCTGAAACATTTGTTTAGCATACAAAATCCACTTTCCCCAACCTCTTCAGGACAATCAAAATACAATCTTCTGGCCGGGGTTTGGAAATACTTAAATTTAACAAGTCCTTCAAGTGATTTTGTCCCTAGGCATATAAGGAGACACTGCTTGAAGTCAATGTAAGGGAGCAAAATTTGCCACCCCAAAATATACCAGTTTGGCATATTGGCTGCTTTGAATTAGTTGGTTGGGAAACGTGCACTCTCAACCCTCCGGTCTGTCTTCCTGAAAGCAGGAAGTAAACAATCACAAGTTAAAGTTACCCTCCCTGCTCCAGGAGGTGAGGAGACATCTTTATCATGAGACATAGGAAATTCAGGGCCAAGAAAGCAGTGTAAACTCTGCTTAGTTTCTTCACTAATTAGTACCCAAACCTAAGTTTCTTTGTCCTGTCATTTCATCATAAATTTACTTTTCTGTCTAAAAAGTATAAAAGTTGCCTGCTTTGGTAATTTCTTTAGGCCCCATATCTATGAGACTTCTGTCTATAC